GTCAATGTCTATACTATATTCAAGGAAAACTACATTTCTAAATGTTAAATCATAGTGAAATTGGACATATAACAGTCGTAGTAGTCAAAATTTGTTGAACAATCTTTGAAACTGAATTATTATTTTTTTTTTTCGAAGTTATTCTAAACCTATCTCTTTACCATTTTTCTATCCCAAAATCACATTCAAAAAAGTGTCGAACACTGCATAAAGTGTCAGATAGTTTGAAGTTTCACGAAACATGTTTTCGAAGAAAACCATTAGATAATAGGCAATATGTTGGTACAAAGTTTTATTTACGAAAAATTTAGTTCGTATTCTTCTCTTTCCATTTATATACGTTCAGTTTTTTTTAGAACAATTCTGGAAGAAAAACTAACTCAGTTCAAGAGACTGTTGAAAAACTTTCTGTCTAGTATTGTAACAAAGTTTTAATGAATGATGACTAGTATTTAAATTGAGATCCATCTTCAAATCTAATGAAAGATATTAAGAAAGACTTGAGTTTTTTATTTTATCTTGAAAAAAAAAACAAGGAAATTAGTATATTATTATGAAATCTAATGTAGTTTATTCTTCTTGAGTAGAATATAATCAAGAATTTTTCTTATTTTTAAAAGGTATGAGTAATCGAGAATCGGATCAAATGAAATATTTACAAACTCAAATGGAAACTATGAAACAAGAAAATACACAAATAGACGAACAGATCATAACAATAACTGATCAATGTAAAGATTATCAAAATCAAATAGAGGTTTGTTTTATATAATGCAAACTAATTAAAAAATATCTTTTCTTCTTAGCAACTTCGTCTTCAACTTGATCAACTTGAACAAGAAGCTAAAGCTAAAATACCATTAGAGTATGTAGTACATTTATTTTCCAAAATTAAATATAAAAAAATCATTTTCATCTTCTAGCACTGTCACATCGACAATAAATCCACCTGCTGAATTTGGTAAGTTTTTTCTATGAATATATATATATAAACAAAACATTATATTCATTATTCTTAGCTAATTTTGATCAATTTAATGCTAATATGTCTACCAATGATTTAAATAATCAATCTTCTGATGTATCTTCATCATTATCTTTCATTCCAACAACTACATCTCTTCCACTTACTGTTGATGTCGATCCATTTCAAACAGTTGATCCATTTGCTTCTCATTCTGATATAAGTGTAACAACAGCAAATAATGATTGGTTTCAACCATCAAAAGATAATCAAATTTCAACAATAGTTGATCCATTTCTTCCGAAAAGTGAACCAACAGAAACTTTACCTGTCATAGCATCACCAAGAATCAAGAAAGCAGCACCAAAAGCAAATCCTAATAATAAAAGTTTGATCTTATTTTGATCTTAATCGAAAAATCTAACTTCTTCTTTTTTCATATAGTTACATCAAAAACACCATCCAATATTGATCCATGGGGAGAATCAACAACTACAAATAATCATGGAAGTGATTGGGCACAATTTAATAGTCATAATAATACAAGTTCACCATTTGGCGCAACAACTGAATGGCCACAAACAATAACTGTTTCTAATGAAAATTCATCAACTGGTTAGTAAATTTACATAATAAAAGAAAAAAATTTCATGAAAACTTTTTTTTTTACTTTAGGCACAATTCAATATCGTGCATTGTATGACTACGCACCTGAACGTCCTGATGAAATTGCTATATCAAGTGGTGATATAATTATGGTAAGTTAATCAATTTGATTTCTCAAGTAGGCAAAACAAATAAACAATCATTTTTAGACTAATTTAAATGAGGGAAGTTTTACTCTTGATATAAAGAGGAAAACTTTAGCATGATAATCTTTTTTTTTTGTTCTATCAGAGCATGTCTTTTTTTTCTCTATGAATCTTTTTAAATAATGAGTTACTTCTTCTTTTTTTTTTGTATATGTTATTCTTAGAAAATTGATTAATTGAAACAAAAGGTTTAATTATTTTCATTTTCTTTTAGGTTGATCCAAGTAAACAACAAGATGAACATTGGCTATTTGGTCAAATTGGTAATGATAAACAAGGATTTTTTCCAGTAGTCTATGCTGAACGTATAACGTAAGTTTCGAGAGAAAAAAAATCATTTCATTGTAGACTCAGTTAAATTATATTTTTCACAATCATGAGAATTTTTTAAAATAAGAACAAAATGATGTTCACTTAAAGAGTGATAGAAAAGTTTAGAATGGTTTCGTTTTCCAGGCCCTCGCACTCTTAGGATATTGGAAATTTACTAGAGTTTTCAACAGAAAGCTGTAGTACTTCTTTACGTTTACATATAAGAGAATTTCGAATATTGAATATTTCAGAATAGAAGATACTAGAAACGTTAAAACTTCCTTGATGAATTAATCTTATTAAGATTTTTGTATAAAATTCGAAATTGAAAGTCGATTTTTCATGGGATATGAGAGAGATCACAGCTATTTGTTGAAAAATGCAGTAAGATTTCGGTATTTCAAACAA